GGGGGGGGGGGGGGATGCTGCTGATGGGGGTGGGGTAGTAAGCATCTAATAAGGCTTGTTATCTCCTCTGAAGCTGGAGTTTGGTCACAGCTGTCATACTCCTGTCTGAGGAAGTTACAGAGGGAGTGTGTTTCTCAGTATTGTCTTCTCACTAGGGAACTTCAGTCCCTCCCTTTTTGTCAGAGACTTGTGCTTTTAATTGACTCAATGCTGTCTGTCCCTCATAAGCAAGGAGAGGAAGACTCAGATTTGTAGGAAAATGGGACATGCTGAGAGACAGATATGAAAGAAGCTTCTGCTTATTTCTCTTATTAGCTTACTTATTGAGGCAACATCCTACACTTTTTTATGATTTTACAGTGTACTAACATCTGTAGTGCACAACTTATAAAGGAGAAGAATGTTTTGAAGAATGTTCACACTGTTCTTTTTCACACAATGGAATGGATATCACAAAAGTGATCCATAAATTGTTATTAACTGAAAATAGTCTGCCATAACTCTAAAACCTCACTTGCATCTCTGATACTGTAAATGAGAACCAGTTGTCTTTGATTAATTGTGACTTCAGGCTGTTTCTCACACAAAGCTACTGCATGGCTTCAAAAAAAACTTGGAATATAGTGCACGAGTCATATGAACTATGCTTATGATAATTTAGGGTGCTTTTTTTGTTCTTAATGGGCTAAACAGTATCTGTCCAACCACTGTATGGGTTTAAAGTATTAGGACAGTGAGTAAATTATGATTATTTTCATTATTGAGTTTTTCTTGGGTCAAAAGAGAGAATTATACAATTATTATTTTGAGGAGAAAAGCAACACACAACAAAGAAAGTATGTGTGTTTTCCCTTACACAAAGAAAATATATTTCCTAATATATGAATGATCAATATATTAAATGATATAATGGTATATTAGAAAATATACAGAATAAAATATTGTGTAAATATATTACAATATATTGAATAATACATAAGGAATTGCCACTTTCATATATTGAAAAATGTGTGACATATATTTACTTATATATCACAATGTATGTAATTTTATATTCAGTAATACACTTTATAATATATAGATGTACATGTGATAAGATATGGTACTGCATGTGTATAAACATATTATACATTTACTCATGCAGTATATACACATATGGAAATATATATTTCTTATGTTTAACAAGCATTTAAAATATACATGTTTCATATTTTAAATTATAGCTAGTTTACAAGCTCATACTTTGCACTTGGTGAATGGACTATCACTGTGCTGAAAAGTGCACAGCCATTACTTTTTAAATAAAGTAACATACTGTATATTCTTAATAGTGTTTGGCCAATCGTCATCCTAACCACAGGCTCTACGCTCTACGCTGTGATTGAGCAAAAACACATTAAATGACATTTAATTTTAATAAGGATCAAACTTTATGAATATTAGATGTATTTTTGTCTTCATTTCTAAATATATTTGTATGTATCAATATATAGCCATACATTGTCAATGCATATATTGCTGTATATTGAAAAATATACGCACTAGTTTCCCATATAGGCTATGGAAATGTATTATGTCAAGTCAAGTCACTTTTATTTATATAGTCCTTTATACAATACGGATTGTGTCAAAGCAGCTTTACAGAGTTAAATAGGAAAAACGTGCTGATAATGCAAGAGGACAATAGAAAACAGTCAGTTGATCAGTTAAAGTCAGTTCGTTGTTGATTCAGTGATGTCATCATCCAGCTCAGTCCAGTTCTCTTCCAATAGTGTCTGTGCAATCAAGTCAACAATGTTGCCAGAAATGATGTCCCCAACTAAGCAAACCAAAGGCGACAGTGGCAAGGAACAAAAACTCCATCGGTGACAGAAATGGAGAGAAAAAAAACCTTGGGAAAAACCAGGCTCAATCGGGGGCCCAGTTCTTCTCTGGCCAGAGGAAACCAGCATGGTGTGGTTTAATTCCAGGCTGCAACACAAGTCAGACTGAGCAGTAGGGCTGCACGATAAATCGAAATGTAATCGAAATCGCGATTCGACAGAAGCTGCGATTGTCATGCGTATCTTTCAGTGAAGCACGGTTCTGTGATCAGCAGTAAATCTCCATCCAAAGGCCAGAGGGCGCTCTCATGCTGAAACTCCAAATACGCCTAGCAGAAGAAACCCATGAAATGCCTATAGCGGTAGCTGGATAAACAGAAGATTTAACTGCTTTTATTGATTCACCGTGACTAATAAACACACGATTTTGACAATATATGGTTTATCTGAGTTATTATTATTATAATTTTTATTAAAATATAGTATATTTATAATGCAATGCCTTTATCACTGCTTAGAATGCTATGAAATAAGTTGCGTGCCTTATTCTGTGTAAGAAGCCACATCATCTCACAGAAGGATTTATTTCAAACACTCGACTGACGTTATGAAGTGATGCTTTCAGATGGAGCAGCATTTAAACCACCGACTCTGGGCGGGTCCCTGGTGTGAGGCCTTTTTAAGGTCTCGGAAGATTCCCGCCTCTCAAGATGGGCTTGTCCAATGAGAAAGGCCGGTATCCCAAGTGGGAGTTTTGAGATACTGGGGAGTTTTATGACTCTTTGTGTGGAAGCGTGGTAATTTGCATATGGAACTTGAATCGAAATTACTAAAGATTCTCAGGACACTAATATATTGCCTATGTACCAACATATAATATACACGCTTGTTTCGATCATCAGAAGGCGAATTCATAGATACTAAACATGGTAGGATTACATATAGGCAGGATGACAGGAATGGGTTCCATCATAAGCATGCATAAAATAGTCTAAAAATATCAAAGACAACATACACCATGACCTGAAGGATACACTGTTCATTCAAAGAAAGGTTTTCCTATGAATTAATTGGTAGAAAAGTCCATTTCTACTGTGCCTTGTGCCTCTTGCGATGGAACATGCAGTGATTTTCCCTGCTTCGCATTCCATTAGGTCGTAAATGTATCTGATGTCAGGGTTGCCATGGTAACCAGGGTCCTGGGCCCTGTTCACAGACAACTTGGCACCCAGTATGTTTATTGGGTGAGGGGTCTGTGAACGTTTGTTAATCTAATGAATAATTGATTTGTTGAATCAAATGAAAAATGGTGTGTCTGATTGGTCCAGACGCTACAATCGCATTCGATTAATCGTGCAGCCCTACTGAGCAGAGGACTTGTCTGGTTCTTGTGGTCTTGTGCCAATGGCCGATGAGGTCTTCACAGGGGATCTGTCTCTAGGGTTCGTCTAGTTGACATGGTCTCTGCTGACATTCAGGGCTGTAGATGTCATCTCTAGGTATGTAATATATCGCATTATATTTTGCAGTATATTCCCATATATTTTTGTTATGTAAGGGTTTAGTATGTGTTAGTGTGTGGAATTGTGTCCTTTTATCCAGACAGCAGTCCAATCTTATTCACTGTTATTATCCACAATCAACAGCCCCTTAGTGATAGAAAAAGAGAGACAGAGTAAGAGGGCAGTTCTTCTGATTCAGCGTAGAAATCAGTTCATGCTTCCTGATAACAAGTACAAGAAACAACCAAAACCATGTGAACTGTCTACTGTCTACATAGGCGATTTAGACTTCCCAATGCACAAAAAAAAAAAAAAAAGTCGTCACCTTTATTTTTATAGCACTTTATACAAAACTGATTGTGTCAAAGCAGCTTTACAGTGTCAAATGGGAAAATAGTTTGTCAATAATGCTAGAGGACAATAATAGAGTAATTTTTCCAGCTAAAGTCAGT